CCTCATTCTGTGACTTCAGAAATTACTTCCCTAATCATATAGAACACAAAAGGCTGGTTCTTGTTTAAGGCAATGGTGGCTACCTATAACCCTAACACTTGGGAGACTGAGGCAGGAGGATTGCAAGTTCAAGGTCAGCCCAGGCTATATGGTGAGGCTGTATCTCAAGCAAAACAACAACAACAACAAAATAACCCCCCCCCCAAAAAAACACAGACAGAAAAACAAAAACAAAAGTAAAGCTGGTCAGGAGGCTCAGGGGGTAAAGATGCTTGCTGCTGAACCTGACAACCTGGACTCCGTCCCCAGAATCCAGACGGCAGGAGAGAATTGGCTTCTGAAAGTTGTCCTCTGACCTGCACACACACTGTGGCACACCTGAATAACCCCCCTCCCACATACACACCAAAGGGGGTGTTGGGTGTCAAAAGAAACGGTTATGAAACGCAAAGAAAGGATATTTATTCAATGTGGCCACTTTGAGGAAAGCAAATACAAATAAGGACATCCAGTGGCCCACAAGACCACCTCCAGGGTGACTGACGTGAGGTCGAGGCTGAAGCCGAGGGCAGGAGGCATGCACAACTAAGCAGTGCTGGTCCGGGTGTGTCTTGCCCAGCACCGGCCCATCACTGTCTCAGTTCTAGTCAGTTCTGCAAGGTGGTCTTACAAACTGGATTGTCTGCACTAAAACTATTTCAAGGGGACAAGATCCCATTCTGGTTAGTACCAGGGTCCCAGCCTAAGGCTTTGGGAAATTTTAATTTCTTGAGGTTCATTGTTTCAATAGTTTGATAGCCCAAGCGAGGGGTACATGTATCTGTCCTTAAGTGTCTTCCTTCAGCTGCAAGGCCAGGGATGTTTCCTCTTAAATGGGTGGGCTTATTTTATACAAATCAATGATAGATTCCATTTGCATTAGATATAGGTGGGAAAGGATCCTAAGGCAAGTGAAACAACATTTTTAGCATGAGTATAGTAGACATGCAAAATGAGGGGGAAGACACAGGAAATCAGGAAGGCATTCTGTGGCCAGCAGATAGTAGACATCACGACACTTGGTAAATATTTGCAGATTGGATGAATAAATATGTAAAAAAATCATTGAAGACTTTTTAAATGTCCTACCTACATTATCAGAATAAGAATTTCAATATCCCTGGAGGTTTACATTTCTAGACACCTTACCTGGGATTCCTGACTGGATGCAGTTCTGCTGAATAGAAGTTTTGAATTCAGGCATGCATAGAAGTGGACCCACAGTGGAGTTGTGCCCCAGATACTGTCACCTTCTCTAGTTCAGCTCCTTCTTGCTTTCTTCTAATTGGAGGTGATAGGAAACTGCACAGGTTAGTGAAATGGCGTTTTACTGGAATATTCTGCAACTCGTGGTCATCATACTCAGCTTCTTCTGCCCAATGAGTTACTACCATTTCCCTGGTCTGCAGTCTCAAACTCCAGTTCAGCCAGAGACCCCCAGCAGCTCCTACTATGTTTGAAGTCAAAGTGCTCGGGTTCACTGTAGCACAACTGCAGGCCATATTTAAAATGCCAAGGGCATTATTTCCAGATGCCATGTGTGAGAGTTTGGCTTCCCGCATCACCATAGCTAATGTTTAAACCAGCTGTGATGGGAAATCAATTGTTCCATTGCAAGGAAGCTCGGGAACAGGTTTTCAGATGGAAGAGTCACCACCGTGGACATTAAAAGCAGAAAAAGCGTATGTGTAGTAGACCGTGAGTGACTCATTGCAGATGTTATCAACAAAAGGGCTGAAAACATGAAAGGAAGTATTAGACTCTGCTCATTTTCTTCCAGCCTCAGCTCCCTTGCCTATGGAACTTCCAAACATTTACCACCGTACAAGTCATTTTCTAAGACATTTATTTATTTATTTATTTTATTTATTTATTTTACGTATGAGTGCTCTATCTGCATGTATGCCTTTATTCCGGAAGAGGGCATCAGATCTCACTATAAATCGTTGTACATCACCATATGGTTGCTGAGAATTGAACCTGGGTCCTCTGGAAGAGCAGCTAGCACCTTTAACTGGTGAGCCATCTCTCCAGCCCACCATACAAGTCTTAACAGAGCTTCCAACATATATGTGACAGGCTATCGGGTACACACACATTCCTACATGTCTTTTAGAACCACAGAGTGAGAATGTCCAAACAGCTTTTCTCCGAAGCAGATTCTCCTCTTAGACGGATGTCTTAACAAGAACCTCAGGTATGCCTAGATGTCACCATGATGTCTGAGACCATACCCAGCCAAGGCCTGTAGCAGAGATAGCCTGTCCTCATTCCTTCTATCCTCACCCATGGTCAAGATTTCCTGTCTCTCCTCTACACTCCCTTTCTAGCCAGAGGGTTTTTTTTTTTTTCCTTCCATGGCTTCCTTTATTGTTCTGGGAGAAGTCTCTTGATCTGTCTTGCATCTTGGTGACTGCCCTGCCACTGTGTAGCTCCCCTGTTTACCACAGCGCCTGACTGGGAGTAGCATGGATGGAGGCAGAAGTGTAATCCACTCTCATCCTTTCTATTAAGATGCCCAAGGCTGCATCCTCTCAGAGGAACTCC